GCTTGCTCGGTTGCAGAGACTACGAGGTCCAAATTTGATTGTGTGGTTTAAAACATTGTGGAAACATTCATAAGGCGAATAAAGTCCTCGCAAAACAGGAAACAAAAATAGAAGCAAGTCGGCGAAAGGGGAGATATGCCTATACACAAATTTATCTGCATGGGTGATTACAACATAAAAACTAAGAACTAAATTTCTCGACCGGGAGCGGTCTCTTCTTTATCAGGTCCCCCCCTCCCATTTTTAGATCCGCTCTTGCTCCCATCGTCGTTGTCATCACCATCAGAAACCAGAGCTTCAGCATCATCTTTGAGTTCTTTTGCCTTTTTTATCTCTTCCGCGAGATCGAAGCCGCGAGCATGAATCTCCTCGAGAGTTTCACTTCTGGATCGGCACTTAGCAAGTTCGGCGACCCAATGCACTCGACTATCGGCGGATTCGGCTGCCTCTCTTGCCTGGACTTGGGCAGCTTCAGCATCGGCCCGATAGACGGCCATGAGCGCATCCGCATCGGCCTTTGCCTTTTCAGCATCGGATTCGGCCTTGGCAAGTATAGAGGCCAACCGAGCCTCAAGCTCCTCAATTCTTCTTGCTTGAACCAGGACCTTTTCCTTCATTTTCTGAAGTTGAGTTTCAGACGATGATAACTGGGCTCGAGCAGTCTCTTTTTCTGCAGCAAAGCGATCCATACCTTCTTTCCACTGCAAGGATTCCATCCTTATCACGTCGACCTCCTCACGAAGCTTCCCTATCATCTCGATTTTTTGCTGTAGCTGTGAGACCGAAATGTTAGCTATCGTTCCGGTATCAAACCCATAGGTTTTCAAAAGCATCATTACCTGCTCAGACAAATCATTTTGATCTCGATAAGCCTTGGCCAGCTCAGCTCGGAGGTCTTTTATTTCCTCCTCTCTCTGCCCTAAAGAAAGTCTAAGGGAGTTCCTCTCGTCAGTAGCGCGGTGTAGGTCAGCCACGTATCGATGCAGCTTATTCTGGAAATGAGAACATTGTTCTCGATGGACTGCAGCAGCCTACAAAGAAACAAGAAGCGAAGTTAACGAAAAACGAATATAAAGGCAGTACCAACAAAAAACAATTTTAAAGGCACACCTGATTCAAAGCCTGCCGCAATCCGTGAAAAAGATCTGATTCATCACTGGGACCGGCAACGTCCTCGATACCGGTAAACAGGTCACGAATAGATCTTCTTCGTCATGAGGCCTGTCTAGATCGAGGGCTCCCAGAAGCTTGAGCTTCCCGAATCACCCGTGCGGAAAAAGCGGGAAAGGTAGGCGAATCCTCGATCGCTGCTGCCCCAAATGACTTGCTTGGAGCGTTCCCCTCGGCTCGGAGGGGTTCGAGGGGCTCTTCGATTTTAACCCCTTCTGGTTGACTCCGATGAGAGGCGTCTTCAACATCCGATAGTTTGGGGACTCTACCTGAATCTTTCTCCGGTATATCTTCAGTTCGAGGCGGAGCCCCATAGAGCATCATCGATCCAGCCGGCGATGAAGCATCGGTGGCTCTCTTCGTTCGGACAGCCAGCGCGGACTCATTGTACTCCTCTTCTTCTTCTTCTTCTTCATCCCTTAGACGCAAAACGGATTCCACGGTCAAAGGAATGACATTCTTGTTCGGCTTACGAGCCATCCTCTTCTTCGGTTTTGGATATTCGGGAAACGAGGCTCTCTTCCTTTTATTTTCCTTCACCGGATTTGGGAAAGATGTCAAAAAATCCTCCTCATTGGACAGAGGCCTCAAGATCGTGTCTTTACCCAAACCTGTATATGGGAAACCTTATAAAAAAATATTTTGAGAAACGCCTCATTCGGATCGTCAGAGTCCGAGAAATGAGCTTACCGTGATTTTTGGCCTCCCACCGACCCTTTGTAAAATCACACCATGAGCGCTTGGCGTATGTGGAATTCGAAACAAGAGCCCGTACCCAATTCTTGAGATCGGGAACCGCTTCGGGCATCCAAGGAACCGCTACATCACAAAAAAAGGAGTGTCGATAAGAGAATAAATGGAAGAATAAAATAGAAGCAACAGCAAGATCACACTTACATTTCATATTCCACTCCTCGGGAAAGGGCATCTTTTCAGTCGGGATCAGGTCCGAAGTCCTTATTCGAACGAACCTGCTCATCCAACCCCGGTCCCTATCCTCGTCAATACTCGAGAACAGAGCCTTGGTAGCCTGACGCTGGAGTTTTATTAACCCTCCCCGAAAAAGTCAGGGACGGTACAACCAGATAAGATGATCTAGGGTGAACGACATCCTCTCGATTTTGCTCACAAAATATCGGATCAGGATAACGATCCACCACAAAGAAGGATGGACCTAGCCTAAGGTTACCTGATATTGTCGACAGAAGTCAATAACAACGGAATCGAGGGGACTCAAAGTGAAAGGGTAAGTATATACGTTCAAAAACCCTTTCACGTAAGAAGTAATATCTTCGTTAGGGGTAGGTATTATTACTTCTTTTTCACCCCAATTGCAATCCTTCTTTAATAGATCGAGGTGTTTCTCGGTTATCGAACACATGTACCTCGATACCGGCTCACACCGGCCAGGGACCAATGAACCTTTATCAACCTTAAAATCTGAAGTAAGGACGCACGCCCCGGGAACACACTCCTCAGGCCGTGGTTCTGTCGGTGCCTCATCGGCGACATACTGTGAAGATGCAGTCTTCTCTTTCTGAGGAATGGTTTGCGATATTTTCGCCATTTTTGAATTCAAAAGTAAGGAATAGAAGAAAGTGATAGAGATTTGGTAGAATTGAAGAGGGGTTTTTCTTTTTCGGAAAGAAATCACAATTTTGCTGGTAAATTAGAGAGCACGAAGAAGAACTTGGGAAATTTTGGAAGATAGAAGATGTAAAAATGGTAAAAGATAAAAGTAAGGGTTATTTATAGGTTCAAACGATGGCGGTTCAGTATCAGCAGTGGCCGACCACCGCCTGACATGCATTAAATGCCTTGAAAGACTAAACTGACGGGACAGCTACCAGATGCGTCATGGTCGAACCCGATGAAAACGACAAGATATAATTCAATCGAGCTGTTGAAAATCATATCGTTTCTCGCCATATTCTTTCTAAGAAACGAGGGGACTATCTGTATACGGTCAAAATAGATTTCAGCCTTGGCATGTCCGGTATGGTTCGAAGGGTGATGTATCGAAATAAGATCTCGAAGGGGGGACGAACCAACCTCGAACCCGGGGAGGCCGGTCCATGTCGAGATCGATATCATAGTTAAACTAGAACAAGAATCGAACCATGACGCAGGTAGACCTATCGTGCTGATAATCCAAAGACCAACCAACATTGAACTGGAATCAATTCGAGGGCTCGAACCAAGGTCACAAGTTCGAGTCGAAATCTAGCTCGAACCAAAATCGAGGATTCTAAGCAAGATCGAGCTCGCAGACAAAAGTCGTTACAATCCCACTAGAGAAAACCTTGGCAGAAATTATGGAAAAACTGACTTATCATGGGTCTCCCACTGAATGTTTACTTTATTATGCTTGGAGCCCAATCCCTCCACTATAAAAGGGCTTGATTATCATTTCTGTATGGGACATTATTCTGAGACTTATATTAGAACGAAAGTATTATATTCCTCTACAATGAAGAATGGCTATTCCACTTTCTTAGATTGATTCTATTTGTTAAATCCTAAGGTTCACTGTTCTTGATTGCCTTATCCAGATTATATTCTCTCCAATCTACATTCACATTTTATTTATCCTTGCATTTTGTATTAAGTTGCACCACATATTTTCGGAATTGCGTACAAATTCAACTCTATCCATTTTTCGGGTAAACACTTATACGAGGGTTAAATTATGCGGATAAAACACCTAAAAATAAACATAACGTAATATTGTTATTCTATCTTTCATTTGTTTTTAAAATAAGGGTAAATTTAAAAACTTTTATATATGTACCATATATCTAATTTTAATGCGCTAATTACTAGATCTATACATATGTTATTTTTAAAGTGTACAAATGTATTGCAATATTGAACACTAGATCTATACTTCTTTTATTTTAAATTCGGAACAACTAGAGTTATTGTATGGGTGAAAAGTTTCACATCACATATTTGACTTGGTCAACGGTGTAAAAGCCTTCTAAAGCAACTATGCATTGGCATTATAGCATATCGAGAGATCTACGTCACCAAAAGAAGGGGGGTCGTCGATGAGGTCGAGGTGGTCGGATAAAGATGAAACGAGGACAAACACTTTTTTTCGGTGTGCAATAATGACTAATTCTAAAATTTCTATTCCCTAGAGAATATACAAGTAAATATTTTCCTGTTGTACTATGTGGCGCATGAAACCTTATAAATAGAAATATATGTATTTATAGACGGGGATTAGACACTTTTTATAAAGAATAATATTGATATTCTTTTAAGATTCTCTCTTTATCATACGCATACAAAACTTACTTTTTTCTTATATCTTTATCTATTTTTTTTTTCTCGATCCAAGGAGAATCGGATTATTCAAAGGCTATCAATATCCATTATAGTCAGAAGAATCATTGAGAAATCTCATCCCTGTCGAGTGACATTTATCTAATTATTTACTTAAATATAATTTATTACTTCCTTTCATATTTTTGAATTATTCATTATTCCATTATTGCTCTTATTTAATTCTATCTAATAGCACACGCAAGATCTATCATTTGGGTACTAATATTGACTTAGATTAACTCTTTTCACTATAAATCTAACCGTACAAAAATCTAAATTTAAATTTTGGGTGATACAATTATACTACATGTTCGGAAGAAAAGAATGAGTGATAACATACTGTTCTTTTAAAAAATATATTCTATCCAAGACTCAGCTAAAGTCTTTGTCTGCCACCACTATCCATAGTCAAATTGACCAGAATAACGTGTGATTTGACGACGATCATACACATGTCATACTTCCCCTGCTCCCACTGAGAATAAATTATGAAATCATCCATCCCAAGGTTTGATTTCTTTTTACTGAAAACTCGATCGAAAATTCTACACCCCACTTCACTTTATTACTCACTATATATACAACTCTATTATCACCTTAACGAAAACCAAGACAAATAAAACAGAATGATGAGGTTTTGGTTAGTGTCTTTGTTTTGTCTCTTTTGCCTAAAATATGCTTTGGCACAAGATGTTGGTGCTCTTGTTAGTAAAAATCTGTTTGAGAGAATACTACTGCATCGCAACGATGCCAATTGTCCTGCCAAAGGATTCTATACTTATGAAGCTTTCGTAACAGCTACTAGATCCTTTGGTGCTTTTGGAACTACTGGGGACACCAATACTCGTAAAAAGGAAATTGCTGCCTTTTTGGCTCAAACTTCTCATGAAACTACAGGTATTTTATTTGCTCCTTTACACTGTACATTCACCTGCATATAATTTATCAGTTCCTAGTTTTACTATCTCTTTTATGATTTGCTAGGCATATGGAGCATTTGTTCAATGGCATATTCAATTGACGCTACTACTTTTTTATATTTATGTAAAAATTCACTCAAATTTCAACAAATATCATAAAGTCATGAGTATTTAGAACTTTTACAGTTGAACTCGTTAAGTTTAGATAGCGTACTATGATTGGTATATGAGAAATGATACATTCAATCCATACTTATCATCTATCTATGATATATATATATATATATAGGAGGATGGGCAACAGCACCGGATGGCCCATATTCATGGGGATATTGCTTCAAGCAGGAACAAGGAAGCCCTCCAAATTACTGCGTTGCAAATCAGCAGTGGCCTTGTGCTCCTGGTAAAACGTACTTCGGTCGAGGCCCTATCCAAATATCCTAGTAAGTAATTAACGTTTATTTCCCTCATTTTCGTCAGTATTTGTTAACTAGATTGCGGCTCCAGAACTTAGAAGTAACGAATTTTACACAGTTAATGCATTTACTTAACTTATTGTAACGGATAATTTGTCATTTTTTATGAGCAATGACATGTCATTTTCTTTGGTTTAACTTTTGCACATTGACAATGTAAAATATTTTTTTATAACTAAAAGATAAGGCAGGTTGCTTGATATATGCTAATCGAGTAAATTCTTCACAATACCGATGTAAATAAGTTAGTTAAGTCCATTATCATTTAGATGATTTGACTGTGTTAAAAGATTTTTATACTGTCCGTACTTTAAAATCACACACTAAAATAGTACAAAATAATTATATATGTGATGCAGCAACTACAACTATGGACCAGCAGGGAGAGCAATAGGAAGCGATTTGTTAAACAACCCAGATTTAGTAGCCAATGATCCAGTAGTGTCATTCAAAACAGCCCTATGGTTCTGGATGACACCCCAGCAACCAAAGCCATCAGCCCACGATGTCATAACTGGGAGATGGACTCCATCCGCAGCTGATTCGGCCGCGCGCCGCGTCCCCGGCTTTGGTGTAATCACCAACATCATCAATGGTGGAATTGAATGTAACAAAGGTTCAAATGCACAAATGCAGAGCAGAATTGGGTTCTACAGAAGATACTGTCAGATTTTGGGAGTTGACCCTGGCAATAACTTGGACTGTGCTAACCAAAAGCCTTTCGGCCAGTAGGGACCTTGAATCAATTATAGTACTTTTGTGTAGCACTTGAGACCCTAATAAGGTTTGGTCCATCTAAAAATAATATGATCTCTTGCTTAATATGGAGCCAGAAAAGAGTTTATTGTCAAAACTATTTGTTTATTCGTGTTTAGTGTTCCATATGGATAATTATTGAACTAATGATCGGCATCCCAAAAACAAGTTTAAGTCAGGTCACTTAAAAAACAATTACAACTAATTTTATGTAATACGCATTATAAGTAACCTAAACTAAATGTATTACCATGATACAACAAATTAAATTACATAGTGTAAAAATTTGTTACACTATCAATATATAAAACTAAATCCAACTCCCCCCGCCTTCCCACCAGAGGATTCGATAGTCACGGGGAACCATTACATTCGATATAAAGTTATCACTTCTCATAAAAATTGGTACAAGCAGTGTTTTAAAAGGCATATGTTGGGCGAGCCCTGGTGCAGGGCGTACCAAAAATGCACAGTGGCATATTAGTGGGACGTGTTTATCCATAAAACGGTTTATAGACACGTGAATTAATTTCATCCAAAAATATAAAATAAGTAAAAACAAAAATAAGATTATTAAAATAACTTGAAAGACATACAAGTATGGTTATGGACTTAGCTTCTCCGGAAGTAGTAATAAGAGCAATATTAAGAACAAAAGAAAGAGAGTAATTTGATATAATAAGAGCAGAATTTAGCTTTTGTGTACAAATAATTTTTCATGTCCCACTATGGATACGAATTCTCCTATTTATAACTTTATTCAGGGAGACAAGATCCCAAAAATAAATTCTTCTTTAATGAGAATAAAACCCCTCTTGAAGGGTGCATAACGGTTGATCATTAATACAAAGATTCTTTGTAACGACTGCTCACTGAATGATGTCTTTTCTGACTGATGTCTTCCTTCGTTCTCGGTTCCAATGCCTTCGGGACTTATTCAGCACCGGTCACATATTTATATCGGGTAACAATTATTTAATGACTCATACCTTAATTACTTATCTTCAATTCCACGTGTCAACTCGTCGAGCGTCCACCTAGTGTTGATCAATTTTACACCATACAAATAGTCCCCCTACTTTTCGTTGACAAAACTTTATGTTATCGGGAAGTAGATAAGACCCCTTTTTCTTGGCGGGAAAGAACCTAAACGGTTTTTGACATTTGATAGGACGCACGTCTCCTTTCATTTAATGAACCTAACACGTGTTATCCTTTAATTCGGCGAATATTTTTGCTAGTTTTCAAGATAATTATGACAATGAATTTTGCCGCCTATAAAATTATCCACTACTCATCACTTTTACCTTTTACTTTTAAAAACTCTTCTTCTTCTTCTTCTTCTTCTTCTTCTTCTTCTTCTTCGAATTTCGTTAGAACCGTACTGCAAAACCCCTCTTTCTCAATAAAATCTTATTACTCAAATTTTTTATCACCATATCTTCTTCTACCATTGTTCCCTAAACCTATGTCCTTCTCATTGGTGGTGGCACTGAAAAGAACAAAACGAAGGAAATCGATATTAAATCCGAGCCTCCTACTGTTAATACCATCACACCTCTTCAACTTAACTCTCAGTCGGACCTTCAAGTTCAAAAGGAAACTATCAACCCCAAAAATGATAGAAATTAGCATGTCCGTAGATATCCTTCTTCCATTCGCCTTGTTAGCATTCCCGTCGTAAAGGAGGATTGGGACTAGAATAACATCGAAATCTTTGCCCCCAACGAGGTGGAAAGGGTCACCTTTAGCAAACCAGGATTCATATATTTATACATACCCTTTTAGTTTAAAATTGGGAAAAGAAATTGATCTCATAATTTTAAAATTTTGCCACTGCTACCAAATCTGCTTGACTTAGGTGAGTCCATCAATATGGCGTACGGTGGCTTGCCTTCGAAAATTGTGCTCTGAGGTCGAAAAGACCCTCACTCTCGCACATTTAATCAACCTCTACTCCCCGAAGAACTTCTGTAGAGGTGTGCTTAAACTTAATAAATACGGCAACCATGTCATCGTTACCAGTATCGATGATGATAACGACCATGGCTGCATGGAATGGTTTGTTGTCATTGCTACCAAGGACATTCTCCCGGCAATAGCCCCTTCCATTCCCGAATCTTGGAATTATGCTCGTAAGTCTTCAAATATCCTTTCCTTACCACGTTTAAAAAGAATTTTCTCCTTTGTTAACTTTTATTTTCTTTATTCCAGCTACTCATTGGGAAGCACCATCGGTTATGAACCCGGCCCAATGGTGTCATGACCCAAAATTATGTGACCGGCACCCAGCACACTATCCAATTTATGGGTGAATTAAACCGTACAAGAATACCCATCTATATGCAAAATAGATACATATAGAAGCCTTTTTGAAAACACAATCATTTTAAATGATTAAAACTATACATGAAATAAAATATTTAAATCCATTATTTCTCAATAATAGAAAAATACAAAAGAATAACAATAATTCTTTCATGCATGCCATATGAATAACTCTCGATTTCAACTTCAAAAGAATAGCAATTGTCTATGAAATCTCTAAGACACAAGGATGAAATAAATACGTGGGACAAATCCAACTAAAAGTAAGTAATATCAACATGAAGACTAACATGGAATAGAAATGGCGTCTTGCTATATGCATCGGAGAGAGAGTCATCCTAACCTCATCTGCTCATCACGTACCATGTCGCATCCTGAAAATATGTAAAGTAAGTGGGACCCTGGAGATGGGCCCCTGAGGGTTGAGTACACCACAAGGTACTCAATAAGAGTCATAGACTCTCTCTAACTCAAGTTCCTGGGACAAGGCCTTACAAAAATATTGCAACCAACATTTGATATAGAATGATAACTATTATTATCAATTCATGCTTCTTATCATTTTAAATGAAAAGACTAGAAAAATGTCAATCATGATACAAACTTTTAAAATATTTATATCTACCCATGATCCTAATAAGAATAATGCAAAACTTTTTTCAGCGTTATTAATTAATTGAAATCACTTTCGGCTCCTTAGGCCTAAGTATCACAAAATTATCTTTGACCTTTTCACCAAGAGTACTATACTGACACCGACATAATAAAAGACCACTAGGTGATCAACCTAACAACAAGTATGTAACCCTACTTGTCTGGGCAGCTTCCCGTAGTGCCGTACGAGTTGACTTAACCTTATTACTTTAATAAATGATCATTTTCTTTCACAATGGGAAACTTTATCCCACAAACCCCGTCTTAGCATTAGAATGTGTCCCTACATCGGCACTTGTAGTTCTATTAAAACGAACTCAATATTCTAACCAATCTCGGTGGTCTTCACTAATAACTCCCAAAATATTTGATATTTCAAAAATAGATTCATATCATATTAGCCTCAAAGGATCTATTTTTATCAAATCATTGCTCATGGACAAACCAAACCATTTGAATAAACAATCAAACATATAACCTTCTTCATGTTAAAGCCTTTAGCAATTTTAGCAATTTAACATCAATTCTTCAAAGATACAATGGATGCTATCCATTAATCAAGTTTCAAAAGAAATACTTTTCATAAAAATTCATATTTAGCACTCAAATATTTATATTCTTTCCAATACACAAGCTTAAATAAAACTTATAACATTTTCCTCAAGCATTATTTGACATCAAATCTTTAGAAACAAGATTTTTTTAATTATAAAACAACAATATTTTCTTTATGCAACATAGCTAGAAATACGTGGTGACATCTTTTTTCGCTTGTCCCCATAAGTACAAATGCACATATACATATAAGTTCCTAGGTCCAACTTCACAACTTTAAAAAAAACCCCATATTTCACCATTTGAAGGTCAAACATTAAATGTTAAGTCCAATTCATCCATTAAATTGTTATGGAATCTACTTGTTCCATTAGAAACTCAAGACGACGTCGTTTAAATAAAACCAACACTATTTATCTTCCCAATCAACAAGTTTTTCAATGTCAAAGCTAGCTTCATTTATTTCACTATTTTAACTACTTTTCTAACTCATAAGTAATATTAAAATACTTATTTTTATACTCCATAAATGGGTTTCAAGTAATGAAAATTACCTTTTGAAGCAAATGCTAGAAAATCCCTCTTTTGGTGTTCTTGATTGATTTGATGAAATCTAGCAAAGTCAAGGATGTTGCAATGTTAATACTAGTATTGCTCAACATTAATTAGCGTAAAGCGTGTCTCTCTCTAGAACCCCAAACCTTCAAAATCTTCTTCTTTTCTATTTTTCCGAACTCCCTCTATGTTTTAGCACAAGGGTCTGCATGGGTGGCCCGCGTGTACCACGCACTTGAGCCCTCTCTTCCATCTTCCTCCCATCTTCTGGAATGTGCCACGTAGCCTGCGTGGGCCACACATCTTGGCCACACAGGACTTCGATAATTTTTTTAATCTTTTTTATTCAATTTTATAAAGTTATATCATCAGTCACGTAATTTAGGGACCTACGCACTCATGACCTTCATGTCCAAGTATTGTGATGATCTTGATACCGTTGTGTGGGCCCACACATACTTCGAGGTCTCACTAATTATTCTCTTAAGCTTGAATTGGGCTTAATATTGTCAAAAATATTTCTGGGGATTTATAATCTCTCCCACTTAGAAATATTTGTTCTCGAATGTCAAGACGAAGTCGTAATCAAGTTCAAATATCCAATCATAACCCTTCTAGATCTTTTCACCAAATGGCCTCTTATTACTCATCCCTTTTGACTAATTCTCCAAATTCTCAAATATTCGACAGAGTCTCATTTATAAATAGGACCATCTAAAAATATCTACCTGCTAGCTAACCACATGTATACGATATACATAAAGTACGACGGCCCCGTATAGCTACCATTTAATACAATAAACCTCTAAATACCAACAAAATTTTATTACACTCTACCAAATACCAGTGATAACAATGCAAGTCTCAAAAGAAAACATAAGGCACGTTAGTACACTATTCAAGCCTAAGCTGCATTTTCTTGAAATAAATAAGGATATCGTTTCATCATGTCATCCTACGCTTCCCATGTTGCTTTTTCA